TTGTTTATTTGTCTATTTATTCATTTCTTTCTTTTTGGATTTAGTCGAAATTCCGGCAGTTGCGTTTCTTGTCGTTTTGATGTCTGATTTTCATTTATTTCCTTTCCGCATTTTCGATTTTTTTTATGATTCATCTATTTCTTTATTATTTTGTTTTTGTTTGTTTATTTGTCTATTTATTCATTTCTTTCTTTTTGGATTTAGTCGAAATTCCGGCAGTTGCGTTTCTTGTCGTTTCCACCTCAATCTTTATCCAGTTTTCCTGAATGTCACCTTATTTTCATCATTATTTTTTTTTCTTTTATTTTCTTGATTTTTTTTTTTTTCATCATCTTAACTTTCCCGTAATATCGACCATTCATAAACGAACCACCATTTCTTCGTCTGTTATCTATCGTACCTTTATCCATTACCAACCATTTTCTTTATCTCCCCTCCTTACCCATTACCCACCCTTTCCCTTATCTCTCCACCCTTATCCATTACCCACCCTTTCCCTTATCTCCCCCACCCTTATCCATTACCCCCCACCCTTATCCATTACCCCCCCTTTCCCTTATCTCTCCCCCCAGCTATCCCCTGGATGCCCCGAGGAAACGCAGTCAGGGTCATCGCCGGCCTGTGGCTCTTCTCCGCTCTCATCATCGCCTCCGTGTACCGCTCGAACCTCAAGGCCATGTTAATCCTCCCCAAACTGAAGCTGCCTTTCGATAGCATGGAGGAGCTGGTGGAGACCGACATCCCTTGCAACGTGCCGAAGGGGAGCATGCTGTATCAGGCCGTTTTGGTAAGGTGGGTGGGGAGGAGGGAGGGAGGGGGTGGGAAGGAGGGGGGAGGGAGGGGATGGGAAGGATGGGGGAGGGAGGGGGTGGGATGGAGGGGGGTGGGAGGAAAGGGAGTGGGAAGGAGGGGATGGGAAGGAGGGGGGTGGGAGGAGGTGGGAAGGAGGGGGAAGGGAGGGGGTGGGAAGGAGGGGGAGGGAGGGGGTGGGAAGGAGGGGGGTGGGAGGAAAGGGGTGGGAAGGAGGGGGAGGGAGGGGATGGGATGGAAGGGGAGGGAGGGGTGGGAAGGAGGGGGGAGGGAGGGGGTGGGAAGGAGGGGGAAGGGAGGGGGTGGGAAGGAGGGGGATGGAGGGGGTGGGATGGAAGGGGGTGGGAAGGAGGGGGGAGGGAGGGGGTGGGAAGGAGGGGGAGGGAAGGGGTGGGATGGAAGGGGGTAGGAGGAAAGGGGTGGGAAGGAGGGGGGATGGAGGGGGTGGGAAGGAGGAGGAGGGAGGTGAGTTAATGGGTGTGGGTTTGTAGGTGGTAAGAAGGTGGTGTGTGTGTGTGTGTGCGTGTGTGTGTGTGTGTGTGTGTGTGTGTGTGTGTGTGTGTGTGTGTGTGTGTGTGTGTGTGTGTGTGTGTGTGTGTGTGTGCGTGTGTGTGTGTGTGAAGAGGGTAGGGAGAGAGGGAGGGAGAGGGAAAGAGTTAGAGACAGAAGGAGAAAGGGAAAGAGAAGGAGAAGGAGAAAGAGAGAGGGAGAGGGGGAAAGACAGAGGGAGAGGGAAAAGAAGAAGGAGAAGGAGAGGGAGAGGAGGAGAGAGAGAGAAAGAGAGAAAGAGAGAGAGAGAGAGAACAGCGAAAGAAAGAAAGAAAGAGAGAATGTAAGTACTTAAAATGTCATACCCTTAACACGCATACACACACACACACACACACACACACACACACACACACACACACACACACACACACACACACACACACACACATACACACACACACACACACACAAACACACAAACACACACACTGAAACTCACGCTATCAACACCATCACCAGCATCCACCCCCACAAACAAGATTATCCACATCCCAAAAACAAGATTACCTTACACACCACACATGTTTAATCCTTCTGACAAAAACCCCAAGGACCCATGTCTCTCCCCGTCCCCGCCCCCAGTACGCGCCCCCAGGATCTCTCCTCTCCCGCCTGAAGGATCAGCTGGTTGACACCGTTGAAAAAGATAAGGCAGTGAGTAACCTGTTGTCAGGAGTCAATGCCATCTTCATCGGGAAAATCATCATTGAGTTCGTGGCGCATCAGACCTTTTCGCAGGTGAGGTTTTGTTGTGTTATGATAGATAGATGGATGGATGAATGGATGGATTAATGGACTGGTAGATAGATGGAGATATATATATATATATATGGACCGATATGTAGATTCATTGATAGATGGACAGATAGATGGATGGATGGATGGCTAGATAGATTGAAAGAACATCATTGAGTTCTTCGCAAGTGAGGCTTGGTTGTGCTATGATAGATAGATGGATAGATTGATGGATAGAAGAGTGGGTAGATAGACTGATGGATGGATGAATAGATAGACTGATGGATGGATGAATAGATAGATAGATAGACAGATAGATGGATGGATAGATAGGTAGGTACCAACTGCAATCCCTCATTCTTACCAGGGGTACCAACTGCTCGGCCTTTGCTACAGGCAGCTGTTGCGGGTTTCATACGCAAGCAACTTTAACCTCTATCTCAACCTCTCTTCTCTCTGCGTGTTACAGACAAGGACCTGCCCGCTGTACATCGCTTCCCAGACGTTCTTCGGAGCAACTAGCCTGGGCATTGCTTTCAAGAAGGGATCGCCACTGAAAGCCAAAGTGGATCCTATGTATGTGGAGTTTCGAGTTTCATTTTTTTTTTTTTTCGTTTGAATGTTTTCGAGGATCATTCTGGTTTTGAGTTTTTCTTCTTCTTCTTTTTGCGGTTTCTCAGTTAATGTTGCGAGCTTCTTATGCCTCTCAATTTTAGAATTCGTGGCTTATTTTCGATGAAACGCTCCATTTATAGTCATTTGTTTGTGTCTATCGAACTCCTCCTTTCTCCACTATCTAAACATCTTATCTTATCATAACTGCTACCCATATATACACGTTGTTGCAGTGGTATTCTTCTGGTATTAGTGTGATTTCAAATCTAGGTTGGTGTACTCATTATTGCAAGGGTAATCCTACTGTTGAAGTTTGCATTCTGTGTCACTGTAGTTTGATATAACCGTTTTCCTGTTCAAGTCTCATTTTTTATGCCGGTTCTATCTGTCGCCTGTATTCCGTTATCAATCGCTATGCACTGATGAATAAGAATAATAGAAAAAATAAAAAACACATAATTGGCCCGGAATGATAAAGTTTACATTCCTTATCAGGTGATAAAAAATGATATGCATATTCGATGCAAGTTTATGCAAGAAACAGAAAGATCGTAGTCATAAATTAATTTCAGTGATCGCATCCGATGCCAGTTACACCAGTCAAGTTGATTCTCAGTTCCATTCAATTCACACCAGTCAGGCTAATTTTGTTTACCAGCTTTGTTGGCTTCAGCCAGTTTATACCACCGTGCTCACAATCCATCACAATCAACCATCTCTCCACGCTGCATGCCAGTTATGACACATCATTCAGGCTCTTGTCTCAGTTGACCAATTTTACACGCTGCATGACAATTATACAAGTGGTTAGGTGAATTCTTACGCGGTAAAAAAAGGTAATTTGATATTTTTTTTGTCATAAACTAGCAAGCTGTCATATTCCTCCAAATCAGGGACGAAAGGAGTTCACTATGATAAATGTATAAAGATGTGTGAATGTGAATGAATTACACGTCTTTATGAGGTTATTCATTCCCATGCATACCTTTTCTACATGCTAATTCGAGTCAGATATCAAATTGGTAGCAGTTATATCGTAGGTTGTATTAGTAGTGGTTGTGGTTATAGTTGTACTAGTTTTGGTGGTAGTAAATATATTAGTGGTTGCAGTAATGGTACCAGTGGTGGTAGTAACAATGGTAGTAGTGGAATTGCAATTGCAGCAGTGGTGATAGTAGTTGCATTAGTGGTGGCAGTAATAATGGTCGTAGTGGTGGTTAGTACTAATAGCAGTTGTGGTTGTAGTGATATTGATTAATGGTAGTAATGGTGATAGCGTTAATGGTAGTAGCAGTGGTAGTAGTAATGGCAGTGGCGGTGCCATAAAATGTCTTGAAAACAACGCTGAATTCAACGCTGAACAAAATGGGGGAAAATTCTAGTGACAATTATTAGTGATGCGAACGGTAATAATGGTAATAGTGATAATGATGATAATACGAGTAATATGAAAGAGAAAAAAAGGAGCAACAACAACACCAATCATAATGATAGCTACAACGATAATGCTGATTATAATGATAACTCAAACAGCAACAACAAATATAATAATAATGATACTAATAACAATAATAATAATAATTACAATAATAATAATAATAATGTGGATGGCGATAACAATAGTCATAATAATAATAATGGTTATGATAACCGTAATGGATTACAAATCAGCAGTAATACTAAGTACAGTGTGAATTGTGGTAATGACCATGACTGTAATGATGAATTCGTAATAATATTAATTATAAGAATACAATTACTAATAAGAATAATAACGACAACAACAACTACAATAATAATCATCATCATCAGCAGCATAATGATAATCATGAAATTTATCACTGGCCGTAATGATTAAAACATTAATAAAACAGATGAATATTGATCATGATAACAAGAGGATTCATAATGAATTAAAGATTGTGATAATAACGTTAATATTAGATTTATTGATAACTAGAATAATAACAAGACTGTGCATAGTTTTAAGAAAGGCGTTTGAGAGTTTTAAATGCAACTTCAAGGCTTGCAATATTTTTCATTGCCGGTCAGCATATGGATATGTAATATTTGATTTTGGTATTATTATAATTGTCACTTTCATGCTTATCATTGTGATCATAATCGTCATCATCACTGGCTTCTTTATCATTGTGATCACCATCGCCATCATCATTAACATCATCATTATTACCATCACTATGGTCATCATCATAGTTAACATCATCATGATTATTATCACTTTTATCATTATCAATATCATTATCATGATCATTATCATCCCTGTAATCATCAACATGGCATCCTTTTTAAAACTAGAATTATCATCATATCATATCTGTCCGTTTTTCCTTCCTCTTCTATATATTTATGCAGTTCCCTCTTCGGTCACTTCAGCGCATTTCTTCCCTTCTCTTTCTCCTTCAGCATCCGTAATCTGAAGGAGTTCGGCATCCTCGACTATCTGGTGCGGAAGGAAATCATTTACGCCAAAGAATGTCTTCGGCAGGAATCTCTCGTCGGTTCCGCGGGGTCTCTGAAACCTCTGAAACTCAAAGATTTCTACGGCGTCTTTTCTCTCTATGGTGCAGGTGAGGATTCGTTTTTGTTTTATTTATTTTAATTATTATTCGTGTATTTTATTTTATTTATTTTAATTATTATTCGTGTATTTTATTTTGTTTATTTTGATTATTATTCGTGTATTTTATTTTATTTTAATTATTATTCGTGTATTTTATTGTATTTATTTATATATTTATCTGTTTATTTATTTATTTATTTATCTATTTGTTTATTTATCTATTTGTTTATTTATCTATTTGTTTATTTATCTATTTATCTGTTTATTTATTTATCTATTTATTTGTTTATTTATCTATTTATTTGTTTATTTATTTATTTGTTTGTTTGTTTATTTATTTAGGGAGGAGAAGAATGCTTTGTTTTTCGCGTTTGTGATTCGGATGTTGTGTCGTGTTGTTTTAGGTTGAGGAAATTAGAAACTTTTTTTTTTTTTTTACTTGATTTAGATTAGGAAACTTGGTGACCTGAGGATATCTTATTGAATTGGAATATAGTATATTCTTTAGTCTTGCCGTCATATCTGTTTGTCTCCTTACCAACAATTGACATTCTAATGAACTATTCATTTTTTAACAGTTATTATCTATATTTATTACATTTTCAAAAAACTCTCTCTTTGTGAAGAAAAAACTACTGAATCGAAAATATATCACCTTCATTTCTTAATACCTTTGTCGCTTACCTCACCATGTTTCACCTCCCTTGCTGACCATTAATGTTAAATGTCTGTTTTTCAGGGACGTTCCTCGCTAGTGTAGTCTTCCTCATAGAGCTGATTCTTCGGAGGAAAAGGCATGCTTCAAATCTTTCCTAAATAAGATACCATTTAACGACGACGATGCTTCGAAATGCTATGGAATACTGAGAAGAACCTCCTAATACTGTAGTTAGTGGTAGCGTGTGCTCTGAGATATAAACACAAATTGTAATGGTCTGTAGCGATAGCATGGCCTTTCGTAAGCGCCATGCTGCGACCGAATATTCAGCAGATGTCAAAACTGGCCTCACCGACTAAAGGTCTACATTAATACATGGTTCCCGACATTCACCCTCTCTCTGTATCTCCTTTTCCCCTGTATTTTAGTTCACCTTCATTACCTTAAATGTATATAAAAGCAACCACCTGCAAATGACTCCTCGCACGGGATTCACTTTGCACTAGACACACTACCATACTACCATAATAAACCTACATAACCAACAAGACTCGTCTCCATGCTGTTGTTCTTTGCTTTTAATAGCCATTGAAATTATTCCAAGATACTCAGGTGTTGTGAAAAAAAACATCAGTGAAACATATAGCAGGCTAGCTGACAGGACTGTGTTTCATTTGATAGTTGATATCAAAATTTTATAATCATGATTTGAGTAACAGTATTTGGTTCTCAAGTTTACTGTTTGTCTATGCAGAATAACTTTTCGCATGAACTGCTGATTACTTTAAAACCGACATAAGTGTCCGGATATTTCAAATTATAGTTGGAATTTCTTTTTCTCTCGCAGTAAGGTTACCGGAGGCCTCACAGCTTCTCGTCAAGGCTATCAATGACACCTAACGGTTTCCCGCTGACCTTATTTGATTTTTTTTCCTGTCGACTTTTTTTTCTTTCTTTTTTTGTCTAATGATCATTGTAATTTTGGAACTATTATCATCACTGAAGCATTACTTTATTCTCGAAATTATTTAAGAGATGTAACAAGAGGAATGAATAAAACTGGTATAAGCATATTCATGTGACCTTTTTTTTATACTTGCTCACATTTTTTAACTATAGCCTCTCCTTAACTTTTTTTTTTTTTCCTACGGATACTTTCAAGATTGCACACAGGAATATTTGAGGAACAAAAGTAACTGCCGCATTAAAGGCATTAAAACATGAAAGTCTTGTGCATTAGTAGTATTATGAGATGTGATTAGCCAGTGGTTCAGACGGCAAGTGTTGGCTTATGGGACGATAACATGTAATTTGTCTATGGTGCTAATGGATATATGGCAGGTGGTGTCTCATGTACATCAAGCCTCCGGGATAGTACAGTGGTAACGTGTCTGCCTCTCATCCAAAGGTCGGCATTTCACGTTCACCCCAAGCGCTAAGCTGCAATTGTCGACTGGAGATCACTGTTGTTTCTGGGCACCACGGTGGGTAAGGACTGTGCTCAATCGAGTCAGTACCAGTTGATACACACTACTCGAGTCGGGATTAGTGGACATAGGCCAGGCTCCCTTTATGGGCATACCCCGGCCTAGGTTCAGCTTCGCATATCTGACTTATCTTCCTATATATCCATATTGAACCCACATCAAGCAAGGTACATATTGACTTGTATTGTCCCCGTTACTAAGCTGATTGAAGTTATTCCTATGACTGATAACTGCAAGTACCATTGCTGCCTCCTTTTCTCAATTGTTGGTTCACATGAGTCACAGTACCACTTCATGTCACGGATAGATCACAATTTGAATTATTCCAGGAATTAGGGATTTTTTTTTTTTTTTTTTTTTTTTTTTTTTTTTTTTTTTTTTTTTTTTTTTTTTTTTTTTTTAGACAGATAAGGTCCCGGCGATCCTACCTCAGCGAGCGTTTTCAGTATCCAACCCTCTTTCACCGGATACGATTTTTTTTTTTTCGATTAGCATGAAATTCCACCCACTGAACCTGTTTTATAACGAGGGACTACAAAAACACCACAGTGATTCCCTACAGACTACGAACAATTAGCTTTAACGACAAAAGAAGGCTTCATTACGTTCCAACACGGCATATATATACCAACTTCGCTCACTGACTCCCGAACCAGCCGCCGAAACCCTGTACTACACAACCGAGCAGCCTAATTGAACTACAGCTAACATTTCAGTACACCGAGTAAAGCCAGCATGCATCACTACAACTTCAACTTCGTGTAAAGAGGATAGTTCATACGAGGAATCTCTGGATAATGAAAGACGAAGTGATAAAACAACGGATTCTACAACCTAAGCAGGAGCTTCGGTTTAAAACGAAACCTCTGTATTGAATACTTTTAGTGTGAATAGAATGACTACTTAAGAAAATGTTTTACGTTTCAGATTTTATTTAGAAGTACTATATGTGTGAAAACAAATCTGTTAATTACCCAAAGATTTATATCTCTGGAGTTATAAAAGTATCCATACATCAAAATTAAATGGAAAGTGTTTATGGTATTTACAGCTGGAAGTCAGAGGATGTTTAATCAGATGTAGATCAAGAGAAATTAAGTTCACATCTAGAGAAGAAACGTTTTGACCTAGTCCAACCCTACACAGCAACAGGGAGACCTATATACCTGTAGCAGGGTAGCGAAAGTCAGTGTTTCACAGGTTCAAGGCCATAGTCAGATTGTACTATTTGCTTGAAGAAATATGAGTAAACGGAGATATTTTACTCTGCATTCTCCCTCGATGTTAGCGATGTATTCACAGAAGATGTTGCCCGGGGAGTAACCTTTTCTACACTAAAGTTAATATCCCATTTTATATTAACAGGTGGATTTACTCCATGATTAAGGGCTTGTTGATACCTTTCAAAGACCGATGTGGGGAATTGGTGATTTGCTACGTATGTCCTTATCTTGCAGTATTTGAGCTTTCCCAAGTTCTAAATTTGGTTTTAAAAAGACCTCCAAGAACTGATAGATATCTTCAGAAATGAGTAATAGACTGCCCAAACTGCCTGTATTAACAAGTAGCTAACATTTCATTGAATGTACCGCATGGTAAGTTCAAAATTAAGGAACTCCAGTCGCCTTGTATTTGCCCAGAAGCTACATCTTTTTCTTTAATTATGAAGCTGTTTGGATTGTATATACTGCTTGTGCCACTATCCATTTGTTCAAGCAAAGTGTGTTTACTATATATAATCACACCTGCTATTCTGTGTGATAATGTGAAAATTAGGAACATAAGAACTTAAAGTTTAAAACACTACCACAATAGAAGGTATGTCAAAAATATTGAACATAAAAATTGAGCTCAATCTTTTGAATTCTTGCTAGATGCAGCTGTTTGGGAAAGGCATCCAGTCTGGTAAGTGTGGCACTGCCAAACAACCTTCCAGTAAACTTATGAGAGTGGCCCATGCCCTACAGTATTAAAATAACAACAGCATTAATAATAATACACTGGTGTAGGATAATCAAAGTTCGATGAAAAATTATGCAATATATTATACAAATGTCATTTTGCAGTATAATGTGCACCAAGAAATATAACTGCTATTTTGTATTTTATCTGGACGTCAAGCATGCAGTGAATTTGTCATTATAAAAAAGGAGATCAAATAATTCAGCACGCTCTTTTCCCGCAACTTGGTCTATTTGATTATAAAATAATAGATTCACAACCACATAATAAGTAAAGAATAGTATAGTGAGACTTTCATCTACTTTACTAAGAGAACATAAGTGTATGAAAATGACTTCAGTCAACTGGGAAAAAAAAATATCTTATAAAATGTTGTACAATAGATCACATATCTGTACACCTACATTATATGAGACTCAGATACAGGCTTCCACATTACCAATACTTTATGTGATCATGTACCTTACCTATCATGATATGCAAAACTTTGAATAATATAAAGATTGAACATTTCGATGTACTAATGAAAACATTCTAATACCATACTTCTGTCCCGGGAGCCAATGTGAATGCTCTTTACATCATGCTTTGTAGAATTTTTCTATAACCGTCATTACTCTACTTTCTACTAGCATGAACCCCATAAATGCTTGCCAGCTTGAAATTCCTTATATATTTCGGCTAGTCCAGCAGGATAGTAATTGGAAAAATGACTCTTTGATAAAGCACAATGGATTTGGAAAACAAAATAGTCTGGCATCCCTATGTAATGCTATCCCCTTTTAAAACAATGACTTACTAACCCCAAATACATGTAGTATCGCATTTTTTTATATCAAGCTCCGCATCTTGGAGTAAAGTATGGTCACATACATACTTACTAAAATAATGCCCCATTAATTAGCCATTAATTGTCCCTCACCTCCCAGCCCCTTCCTTCCCCAATATGGCTCCTATATATACACCTCACACACCAGCTGTGTCTCCAGTACCCTCCCCCCCCCATCATGTGTACTCTATCCTGCAAAACTCCAGGAAAAACAATGAAGCCTATTGTACATTTTTGTAAACAAGATCCAGTACTCCCTTTGATTTCTGTCACCCATTTTTCTTTCTAAGGTTAGAATTTGACTAGTAGAAGAAATGCAATCAGGCATCCACTTGGACAAGTGGATTGTATTGTATTCTATTGTACTGTATTGTAGAATATGTTCTGGTGTGACTGGAAAAATGGAAAATTTATACAGTTACTTATTTTAATAATAACTGGCATCTTCACCCATTTCTGCAGGGGATGGTTGTAGCAAATAGATGTATATAATGAACGCAGTTTTGAAATTTTATAGAAGTGCTGTTTCTCATCAATTAAATCGTTAAGCAAAGAAAATTTTTAAAATTAAAATACTTTTCAGTTTAACACTAACTGAAGCAGTTCTTGATATACACTTATTATAATAGAAGTAAAAATGAATAAATAAAAATAAAAGCAGAAATAAGAATAAAACTGATTAACATAACATCAGTATATTTCATGTGTTGGACAAGTAATTTTACCAGGTAAAAATCTGTAAACTTACAGCTCAAGATAAGACATGATGTAAGACGTACATCAACTCATCACATTACAAAAAATTAAAAATTGGGTTAGGTTGGAGACTTGAACTTGAAAAAATGGCACTTCAGCTGCTGAATTCAGTTTAATATAGGTTGATCTTCAGAAAGCCAGCTAGTTTGTGACCAGACCAATGTAAATCAATGAATCTTAAGATTACAATAATAATGATAATAGTAATAGTAATAATAATGATAATAATAGTAATATACTCCACTATATTACTGAAAAAAAATTATATTGAGTAAAATATTTGCAAAAGTCTGGATGAAGGTAAACAAAATGGCAAAGTAGGGTAATGACTGCCAGATTCAAATCGCTGTCCTGAACCATCAAAGTTATGCCGAACTAGAGAGAGTGAGTGAGTGAGTGAGTGAGTGAGTGAGAGAGGAAGAGAGGAGGAGAGAGGAAGAGAGGAAGAGAGGGAGAGAGGGAGAGAGGAAGAGAGGAAGAGAGGAAGAGAGGAAGAGAGGGAGAGAGGGAGAGAGGGAGAGAGGGAGAGAGGGAGAGAGGGAGAGAGGGAGAGAGGGAGAGAGGGAGAGAGGGAGAGAGGGAGAGAGGGAGAGAGGGAGAGAGAGAGAGAGAGAGAGAGAGAGAGAGAGAGAGAGAGAGAGAGAGAGAGAGAGAGAGAGAGAGAGAGAGAGAGAGAGAGAGAGAGAGAGAGAGAGAGGGGGGAGGGGATGGGGGGGGCATGTGTGTGTATGTCTGGATGTGTCTGTGTGTACATCTGTGTGTATTTGTATGTGCATACTGTACATTTTTCTTTTTTTTCTGGAAGGGGGGAGGCATTCTAAAACCCTTTTTTAAAGGAATGTTTAGTAGAATTCCCTGCATAAATTATGGAATGTTTAATTTACTATAAGAAAGACTTCCTTATTTAAAAAATACATGCCTATCAACATGGAATGAGGTGAATTGTCAGTAATAATGAGTTTCTTGATAATGAAGATGCTTACTGGAATCAATGGTGCTTTGCTTATCTGGTGATGTAAACTACGAGGCAAAACAAATCAACACATGTCCCCTAGAATTTTCCTTACAATGATTTCAATGATAAGCCACATCTCTTAAGACATTCACTTCTGATTAGTCATTGCCTGTAAAAGTGGTTTTCAAAGGAGTAATATTCTGTCTGAAATCACTCTTGTCGTGGTTTCTTAGCGCCTCGTATGCATGTTGAAGCTGAATGGCCGCCACAGGATGGGAAGAAGAAGGCAGGAGAGTGCATTCTCGCTCCAAGACACTTGCCAGTCCTTCTAGGAGCTCGCCAAATCCATAGGACAGGGCAGCTCTACGTACACGGTTTAATTCCTTTGAAAATCATAAAACAGCTTATTTAGAATTGTATCTGCAATTTATTCAAAATTACGTAACTCAAAATTTGGAGGTCTGATACACATGTTCATTTATAATATTCGCTCTAATTACCTGAAAAGTTACAAGCCAAAATCTTTAGCACTTTTAAGGTATCCAGACATAAATCAACACAGCACAACTGTATAACAACAATATAGATTTCTGTGTTCTTTTACTTATGTCAGCAGCTATTCTTAACTTACTATACTTAACTTAGTTAATAAAATATAATTGGTCCTGAAGGTAAATAAACTGAGCCAATATGCCCAATATGAATCTACATACTACATCAATTTTTGTGTAATAAATTTATTTGAATAATCCTTCTTTATATATCAATCTGCCAAGAATTACATACCTTGTAAAAGCTCTGCGTCTTATCTGGGAGTTTTCGAGCATGACGAAGGATTTTCTGTATATCTGATTGTAAGCCACCTTGTCGCACCCATACCACACAATTAAGTGCGTAGCTTTTCTCTTCTTGAATCTTTAAAGAAAAAAAATGTAGAATTGCTGACTGATTTCATTTATCCTGTCAACTGTTTCTTTTGTGCGTGTCATTTTTACTGCAAATTTGACATCTTATAGTCAATAACTAAACAAAAATATACTTAAAATATAAAACATCTCTATACTAAATGACATGCTTACTGTATGAAGGTATCATGATATTACATAACTATCACTCTGGTCAGATGCTGAAAATATTACCTATAAAATTTCATTTCATCCATCATGCAAGACATATCTTACATAAAAATAAATATGCATTACACTGACTGTGCATATTCTTCCAGTCAAATACACAATTTTAATATAATGTACCTGCAAAATGTACCTTACCTTCAATGGAAATGGTGTAGAAGATTCATTTTGTCCATATGGATTTGTAGGCAAGAGTGAAGCAGGTCCAAGATTAGATAATTTCCCCATCCAAGGAATAACATCATTGCCTGTGTAAAAAAATAAAAATAAAAAAAATAAGAAAATAAATAAGTAATAACAATAATAATGACGATAATGATAAATAGTAAAAATGATAACAGTAATGATGCTAATAATAATGATGATAATAATAGTAAAAATGATAACAGTAATGATGCTAATAATAATGACGATAATGATAAATAGTAAAAATGATAACAGTAATGATGCTAATAATAATGATGATAATGATAAATAGTAAAAATGATAACGGTAATAATGCTAATAATAATGACGATAATGATAAATAGTAAAAATGATAACGGTAATAATGCTAATAATAATGACGATAATGATAAATAGTAAAAATGATAACGGTAATAATGCTAATAATAATGACGATAATGATAAATAGTAAAAATGATAACAGTAATGATGCTAATAATAATGATGATAATGATAAATAGTAAAAATGATAACGGTAATAATGCTAATAATAATGACGATAATGATAAATAGTAAAAATGATAACAGTAATGATGCTAATAATAATGATGATAATGATAAATAGTAAAAATGATAACGGTAATAATGCTAATAATAATGACGATAATGATAAATAGTAAAAATGATAACAGTAATGATGCTAATAATAATGACGATAATTATAATAATAATAATAATAATAATAATAATAAGAAGAAGAAGAAGAAAAACAACAATAACAATAATAATGACGATAATGATAAATAGTAAAAATGATAACAGTAATGATGCTAATAATAATGATGATAATGATAAATAGTAAAAATGATAACAGTAATGATGCTAATAATAATGATGATAATGATAAATAGTAAAAATGATAACGGTAATAATGCTAATAATAATGACGATAATGATAAATAGTAAAAATGATAACAGTAATGATGCTAATAATAATGACGATAATGATAAATAGTAAAAATGATAACGGTAATAATGCTAATAATAATGACGATAATGATAAATAGTAAAAATGATAACAGTAATGATGCTAATAATAATGACGATAATGATAAATAGTAAAAATGATAACAGTAATGATGCTAATAATAATGATGATAATGATAAATAGTAAAAATGATAACAGTAATGATGCTAATAATAATGATGATAATGATAAATAGTAAAAATGATAACAGTAATGATGCTAATAATAATGACGATAATGATAAATAGTAAAAATGATAACAGTAATGATGCTAATAATAATGATGATAATGATAAATAGTAAAAATGATAACAGTAATGATGCTAATAATAATGATGATAATGATAAATAGTAAAAATGATAACAGTAATGATGCTAATAATAATGATGATAATGATAAATAGTAAAAATGATAACAGTAATGATGCTAATAATAATGACGATAATTATAATAATAATAATAAGAAGAAGAAGAAGAAATAATAATAATAAGAAGAAGAAGAAGAAAAACAACAATAACAATAATAATGACGATAATGATAAATAGTAAAAATGATAACAGTAATGATGCTAATAATAATGATGATAATGATAAATAGTAAAAATGATAACAGTAATGATGCTAATAATAATGACGATAATTATAATAATAATAATAATAATAATAATGACAATGCACCTTATCTCAAAATAGTTTATAAATAATAAAATTCTTTACAGACATATACATATCATATACCACATACTATATGGTAACTAACCTTTAGTGGAAAGAGGAAGCACAAGATGTCTGGAGAAGGCAGGAGGTGAAGAAACGTCTCCCGTGTTTAGAAATCCCAGCACCTGGATGGCAGAATCTACACTCACACGTATCACTTCAAAATCATGGTGACGGCAGTAGGGCTTGAAAATAAGGACCATCAGTAAGTAACGATAGGTAAAGACAATTATATTACTCTCTCCCTATTGCATTGCTGTGTATTTAACCAAGTAAGTCTCACATATGCTCAAGTGTTTAGGTTGAAGTGTATTCCATATCACATTACATCAAAATAAGAGGAAGTGCTGTAAAGGCTACGGATATACCTGAGGTGGAGGTGACAGGGTAATGGGAGCAGACAAGTTCCCGCAGTGAAGAGTTCCAGAATACGAGGAGAAGTTGTTCTTAATAAGCTGCTCAAATAACTCTGATACTGACTTGAAAAAATGAAATCAAACCAAAATTAGCATCAATTAAAAATGGGGTGTATTTTACTAAATACTTTGTCTTCACTTCCTTCCTATATTCCTCTATTTATTCACTACTGCTAATGCTCCATGCTGCTGACAAAGCAGATAATTTTAGATAAATAAAATTGTATGTTTTCAATAACTGTATCCCTTATAATGTTTTATGGATAATATATTTTGATAGGAATAAATAGCATAGTATTTCATACCTTTTTGCTTAATCCACCTTCTGGAACAAGAATATCACCCTCTCCATTCAATTCAATCAGACGTTGATATAAAGGTTTTGAAGTCTGAAACCAAAGGATATAGCAAGAACAATGATAAATCAACCAAAGATTCTTTTGATTTAAATGAAACTCATTACTTTCTCGTGGAACATGCAAGAAACATAAATGATAATGCTCTTATACTACTAGAAAACACGGATAATTAAATCAATCAACCATTCACAAAAAAGTTACTATTATATTTCTAAGCACTCTGAATCCTGTTTAGGAAAATTCATCAAGATCGACTCCACTTTACCTGGAAGCCTGGTTCACTCGGGTTGGCAATGCAAACAATGCTGAGTTTTGCAGGAAATGGGAAGGGCAAAGGGAACTGAGCTGCTCCTCGGGAATGAGGAGACATCAGAGACTTCTGCATGGCATGCTGTCCTATCCCTGCATTACCATCGGTCACCAAAACAATCTGAGAGAAGATGCACCATCTTAAGGGATATAAAAAAAAATGCACTTCATAACATCAACACCAATAATCATAACAAGAAGTGAGAAAAGTGCTTTTCCAAAAGTCCCTTGGTTACCTGACAAGGAGTTCCATTCCCCCACTCCTCCAGGATATGCTGAGCCGCACCAACCAGCCCAACATCAATGCTTGTTTTATCTCCTTCTTCTACCAGATTCAGGGCATTTTTTATGGATTCAAAATCCCTTGTAAAGGGCATAAGGATTTTGTACACAGATGAAAAGGATATCTGCAAAGAAAGTGCAAGAAATCATCAATATCTGATAATCTTACTTAATATCAGTAAATTGATATCTGAGAGAAATAGACTTTTGTCAGTTATCCTAACATTAGAATAAATTATCAAATTTAACCCTTACCAAGCAAGCAAATTCTAATTTACAGTGTTGGGCAAAGTGATCGAGTAGACTGTGACATCCATGGGCGGCAAGGTCCTTCCTTAGTTCTAATCTTTCTACTTCTTCACTCTGGCTGGGAGTTGATACATCTACACTCCGGCTCATAGAAAGAGACACATCTAGGAGGATTACTGTTGGCATCTTCTTGCATATATAAATCTGTGGAGATCAGGGAAGGTATATAAATATCTATATAAAAAGCTTTACTATATACTTCTATCTTACTTTTAGTGACCATATTCATATGCATATTTCTAATATCAGCACATATCTCAAACTTGAGGAGAAAATAAACATCATAATATGTGCCAAATTTGGGAAATCAGCAAATGGGATTCTTGCAGTTCTGTAAAATGTTTAAGAAGGTATGAGTGGGTAAGTGTTTTGAATAGAGATCTTGCTTGCAGAGGAGTACAGTGTCAATAGACAACCAACAACAAGCATCAGGATCATTAGATCACCATCAAAGGAGTTCTTGATACTGTCATAAAGCCACTTAGATGAGTTTTAACACATCACTATCAATTCTGTGCCTATATGACCTTTATTTTAAGGGTGATCACTGGTGTCTGGAGTTGGCCCTATGCCCTATGGGGGAGGACATCAGGCACAAATACTCTGAACTGTGGTATCATGCCCACTGAGTGTTTGTCACCAGAATACACACATACACTATAAATTGAATTATGTTTTTTAAGTTATACCAACTCATTTGTTACTCCCCAACCTTGTACCCTCAACATTTGGTTCTTCCTCTTTTCCAAGTTTTAGGCTTACTACTTTAACAATGGAGATCACAAATGAAGCCTCATACACTCAAAAAATGGGACTACAAGGTAGTGTTCTAGAAATGGCAGCAAAAAGGGAAGGATGGTGGCCAATTCTAAATCAGATATGTTTTCTAAGTGTAGTATTAGAATATTTTGTTTAAAAAGTATAAGGCTTAGAATTGCATATAGGTAAACAGAGCAAGGGCTGATAGGAGGGGGCATGAGGTCCAGCTGCCCTTTGTCTCCATTACTCTTCAATATATGTGTGCAGGTTATGGTGAGAGAGGCTCTAGATTCTGTGGAAAATGGTATATAGGGAGGAGGAAGAGTGATTGAAGCCAGTAGGTTTGAAGATTATTAGGCAATAGTAGCAAACAGAGGAGGGATTACAAGTGATAACTAAAAGTCTAAGTATGAATTTAAAGAAGAGCATGCAAAAGTGTTTGGAATTTACTACTATATGAATATGAAACATGGGCATTGACCAAGAGTGAGGTAAGTAATCTTGGGATTGTAAAATGTAGCTTTGTAGATGTTATGGAGTAATTGGACAGGGCAAGTGAGCACTGAAAAAGTCTAAAAAGAATAGGGAAAGGGAAAAATTCATGACAACAATGAATCAAAGAAAAAAAAATGGCCTGCACACATTTTAGACAGTAGAGTCACTTAAAGACAGTGGAAGGTTGCCTAAAGGGAAGAAAGCAGTCAGGAAGACCAAGAAAAGTGATGTTAGTTATGGTGATCTAGGGAAATTTAATTAATTTTACAAGATAGGCACAAGACAGACTATTATGACAGTATGTACCTACAATGTAAACTACCAGAAGAAGAAGATTTGAATTTTTTGAGTGCATTTATCAATATTTTGTGATCCAGTAAGTTCTCAAAGAATACCATTCCTTTGTCCATAAATAATATAAAAATACAAAGTGATACATGTGGAACCGACACTAAAAATATCAAGACCTGAAATTCCAACCTTTTCTCTGAATATATTGTTGCACATACTAAATACATTCACATTTCTGCAAATATATCTTCTGCCCAAAACCTTGTGATCCATTCCCATTAATAGCACAAGAATATATCTGAGAAAGCATCCTTCTCATGTATCTTTCATATTTTGCAGTCTGTTATGTCTTCATGTGAGCATATGAGGCCCTCAGTACAGAAAGGGTGGAACAGACCACTGCTGATAATAGCAGGAAAAAACAGTTCTGAAACTTCAAATGACCTGGGCACAAACACTTACCCAGCACCTGCAACATATATCATATGATGATGAGCTATGACACACATCATATGATAAAAAGCTTTCAATGATATGAAAGTGCTTCATACTGCTCCAACAAGTCTTACTAGTCACCTGACATATAATGTTGAGCTATTCATTATTTTGACATGCATTATTATATATATTTGCACAAAATGTTGTGATGCATTTATATCTTTATACCATCCCATTAACACTTCTGCCCTGAGTTCATTTTCGCATGACTCCAAATAAAATATGTTTCAAGTACAGCCATACATCAAGGTCTTTTCTTTAATGCTCCATGTTTTACCAGTATGTCTTTGAAACTTACACTCTACATAATTTTTCATACATTATATTTCTTACCTGTGTAGTGAATGGTTACAAGAATGGTTATAAGATATTCTAATGCATATACACAATTATTTTATGTAGGTTCCTTTCAATTTTTTTAAAGCAGATTTCAAAACCTGATGTGATTATGAAAGGTGATACTAAAGATTTTTAAAAATATTTACATCTCTCTTATTTTGAGGTATATTGAAGAACTTTGTGCAGAACAGACACCACTTAAATGCTTTAAATTTAATAATTATTTAAGGCATTCATTAAAGCTTCAAATCTATTTCTGTTCCATGATGATCATGGGAATGATGACAACCCACACTGCTTAGCACAAAAGGATTTACTCACTTTTTGCATATTCATAGCCCATAAAATGAACTAAGTATGCCACCATCGCAAAGTTACATACAATAACATTCATAAGACTGTCAAATCCTGACAGACGAGAGGAAGTGCCCCCTTGGCTAAGAGAGATACTGAGAAGGAAAGAAATATAAAGAAAACATTTTCGCGATGACATATATTCCGACCTCTCTGCTCCTAAAAACCTCCTTATGCTTGTCCCATTATCACCTAAACATATATTCTTATGTACAAATAAATAACACCATCTATGCAATCTATTACGATAGAAACCTTTATAATCATCCACAAAACCTACACACTAGTCAGTTATGATTCTTCTTCTTCTTCTTCTTCTTTCTTGTTATAGGGTTTTAGACGATTGTTGTCTATATCCCCTGGATCTTATTTTTCTAGGCTTCTTGTTTCTTAAATTATATCAGATAATTTAGTTGTTTGTAGGAAAATCTTTGTGTGTCTTAATATGTAGTACTTTATTGTAGATGGTTGATCTGCACCTGTAATCAGAAGATTAATATCAATATCATTAATGTTTACTCGTAGTTATGATTCCCTTGCCTCATCCGCATAGCTTCACACACGTAAACAAAGTCGGTGTTTACCCCAAGCAGTCAAACCGCAGTGTTGTTATCCGGTCATAAGTATTAGTCGCACTAGAAGCCCTCTTTCCCTTGAACTGCTGAATACGATTTGGTTGTTATTTATATTATTATCATTATTACTGTTATCGTTCTATCATTATTGTTATTGTTGATATTATTATACTTATCATTATTAATGTCGATATTATTAACTTTATTATTATTAATGTCGATATTATTAACTTTATTATTATTATTATCATTATTATTATTATTATTATTATTATTATCATTATTATTATTATTATTATTATTATTATTATTATTATTATTATCATTATTATTGTTATTATTATTATTATTATTATTATTATTATTATTATTATTATTATTATTATTATTATTATTATTATTATTATTATTATTATTATTATCATTTTTATTATTATTATTACTATCACTATCAATGTTGTTATTATTATTATTATCATTATTATCTTTATTTTCATTATTATCATTATAACTGTTATTATTGTTACCATCATTATCATTATTTCATTATTATTATTATTATTATTGTTATTATTGTTATTATTATTATTGTTGTTATTATTATTATTACTATTATTATTATTATTATTATTATTATTATTATTGTTATAATTATTATTATTATTATTATTATTATTATTATTATTATTATTATTATTATTATTATTATTATTATTACTCTCATCATTATTTTCATCATTTCCATTATTATTATTTTCATTATAATTACTATCATTATCATTATTATTGTCATTACTATTACTGTTATTATCATCATTATCATTATTGATATTTGTTATCATTATTATTGTTATTATTATTATTTTTATTATTATTATCATTATTATTATTATTTTTATTAGTGTTATCGTTATCATTACTAGTACCATTATTGCTATTATTGTTTATTACTGTTATTACTATTATCATTATTGTTATTGTAATTATCATTATCATTATCAATATTATTATTATCATTATTATTATCATTGTTATTATCATTATGATTACTATCCTTCTTATTATTATTATTATCATAATAATAATAATAATAATAATAATAATAATAATAATAATAGTAATAATAATAATAGTAGTAATAATAATAATAATAATAATAATTATTATTATTATTATTATTATTATTATTATCATTATTATTATTATTATTACTACTACTACTATTATTATTACTATTGTTGTTGTTGTCGTTACTATTACTATTATTATTATTGTTATCACTATTAGTGTTACTATGATTATTATTGTTACTGTTGTTATTATCATTTCATTATTATTATTATTATTGTTATTATTATTATTGTTATCATTATCATTTTAATTGTTATTACAATTATTGTCATTATTAATATCATCATCATCATCATCATTATCATTATTATTATCATTATCATCATCATATTATTGTTGTTGTTATCATTATTATTATGAACATTATTATGATTATTATCGTTATGATTATTATTATTATTATCATTATAATCATTATTGCTATTATTTTTTATCATTATTATTATTATGATTATCATTATGATTATTATTATTGTTATTATTATTATCATTATTACTATCATTATTATTGTCATCATTATCATTATTGTTATTATCATCATTATTGTTGTTGTTATTATTATTATTTCTTTTTATTATTATTATTATTATTAGTAGTAGTAGTAGTAGTACTAGTACTGTTGGTGTTATCGTTGTTGTTATTGTTGTTACTATCATTATTTTTATTATTACTATTATTATCATCATCATTATAATAGCATTTTTATTCTTTAATATCATTATTATAAATGTAGTTTTATCACTATTGTATTATTCTATTCTTGTTATTATCACTATCAATCTTTAATCATTGTTATTGTTGTCATTATGTATATCATTATTATTATTTTCCATGATCATACTTATTAGACGTAGTAGTAGTAGGCTTTGTCATACAAATTTTTATTTTCCCATTTATCATCATTATCATTATCACCAAAATTATCATCATCAGTAACATCATCACTATTCTCACTAGATACTTTTATGTTGTTGTAGTCAATACTAATGCTTTGGTTATTATCATTGCCATTACCATCGTCATCATCATCAAAAGAATTTTATAGCTCAACAAAAAGTCATCCCGAGGAATGATAAAGTTATTTTCTTAACAGGCTTCTTCATTGGCGTGGTTTTAACGCCATCAAATACCCTCAAGAAGACAGATTCTTAACTCCTGAAGAATTGTTGGACTCCTCATGAACTTGCCGATGTTGGACTTTCAGATGTTCATATAGTATTGTTAGACTTTTTTCGCAAAGAATCCTGCAAAGCCGATATTTTGAAGGAAGAACGGCACAACATAATGTGTGGTAAAGTACTTTTCTAGATCTTCGCTCACCCTACAGTACAAGTGGTATTGTATACCGTGTTGTTAGCGATCGAAAGCCCCACCTGAATCGATTAAGATTATCGGGGATATCGGGCTCAAGTGCACTTTCCGGACACTCTTGCCTCGGTCGTGCTTTTGAAACAACAGTTAAGGGGCATGGAGCACATGTTGTAAGAAATGATTGAGAAAACCTGAAGTTAGGAATGCCCGAGCAACACCTTTGACATGGAAAAGAGGAAGTTCCTGGCTACCATGCTGACTGTTCTTGGCATACGGAATTTTCTTCAACCTTTTCTTCTTTCCTCCTCCTCCTCCCCATTCTTTTTCTATTTCTTCTTTTGTTGGATGTGCTCGATTTTAGTTCCCGAGGTTAAAATATTCCTCAGGGTCAACTGATGGCCATCTTGAAGTAGTAGAGAGAGCAGCTTGGGAAGATGCTGTGACTGATAATAACACGACACTGCACCCTTTCTACATGGCTCTACAGTGCAGCCAGCAACGTGAAGTATAATGCAGATGGTTTGAACTTTTATGATTACTAACTTGCTTTAGAGGTAAAAAAATGTATGAACGACAACGAATCTCTCCACAGTGCACGAGATGTATTTGGCCAGTTTCGATTATATCTTCATCAGATATGCATATGCAGTATATGTATTTTTGATGAAGATATGAGGAATTCTGGTTAAATTCATCGATAGCTCTGAGAAGACATTCGCTTTTTTTCTTCGTTTTTTACATTTGTCGTAGTAATCACCGTTCATTGCTTTATAGACTTTGAAACAAAGAAATCATGAACTTGATCATAATAATATCAAAGGTTGATTTAACATATCTGTTGGTTACAGGAGAACAGGTTCCAAAGACAATTTTCATGCGTTCCTTAATCCTCGCACTGGAATATAGAGACTGTAGACACCCTTGCGGAAAATGCATGGGATACGTCTACCTATTACAATTACCAAATCTCTTGCCAATTTCTTTCACAACTTCAAGAGAAATTAATTACTGTTTTCACAAAGACGTAGGCCGTGAGAGGTTAAAAAATCGTTCCTCTAAAAGTTAACTAGGAATTCCGCAATGGTTTCTTCCCGAATTATACATAGATAACCAAAGCAAATCTAAACTACTAAGAATGACGGGAGTAATTGGAACGTTGAGTGGTGGACCTACACTGTACGGACTTACTAACAGAATGTGTTATATTCAGTGGCTTCAGAACTCATGGTATTTCGACTTGTATCAATACTCTCACATAACCATAAGGTTCTATCGTATCGTAATATTGTATCTCGACATTTTTTTTTATTGAAAATAGCTCCCGATATCTGCGTCTGAACTGAAGGTTAAGTAAACACTGTAATAAAACCAGAGTATTTATTAAACGCAATGTATTATATAATATGACGCCCAGTATAGTGTGGATAGGATAAAGTAGCAAGTGGTTATTTCATATGATAGTGATAGCAATAATGCTTATAATGATAATGATAATAATAATGATAATGGTAATGGTAATGATAATCGTAGAAGCAGTAGCGATAGCAGTAAGAATAACAATGATGATGTTGGTGTTAATGGTGATGATGATGGTCATGGCAATGATGAGGATGAGGATGATAATATTAATAATAATTAGAATGATGATAATGATGATGATGATAATAATAAATGATAATGGTAATAATAATAATGATAACAATAATAATAATAATAATAATAATAATAATAATAATAATATTAATAATAATGACAATAATAATAATTGTGATAATAATAACAATAATAATGATAATAATAATAGCAATGAAGATAATGCTGGTAATAATAAAAATGATAATGATAAGGATGTTGTTAATAATAGTATTGATTAAAGAATAATGATGACGTAATGATTACATCAATTATAATTAATGATAAAAAAGACGATGAAAATGATGATCATGATGATAATAATCAAAATAACAATAGTTATAATGATGATGAAGATAAGGATAATAATAATGAAGATAATGATAATAATAATGAAGATGATGATAATAATAATGATAATAATAAAGATGATGAGACTTATGATGATGATATTAATAATGATAATAATAAAAATAACTGATAATGATGATAACAATGATGATAGGGATAATGATAAAATGATGATCACGATAATAATTAGGATAATGATAATGATGACGATAATAATAATAATGATAATAATAATAATAATAATAATAATAATAATAATAATAATAATAATAATAATGAAAATAATGATAATAATAATAATGATAATAATAATAATAACAACAATGATAATGATAATGATGAAAATAACTATAACGATAATTATAATAATAACAACAGAAATAATAATAATAATGATAGTAATGATAATAATGATAATAATAACAATGATAATATTAATAATGATAATAATTATGATGATGATAATGATAGTCATAATAACAATAATAATGATAAAAACAATAGTTACAATAATGATAATAATAATAATTATATCGATAATAATAATAATAATAATTATAACGATAATGATAATAAAATAATAATAATAATAATAATATAAT